CGAAACGCAAAACCCCCCAAAAAACGAATCGATTTTAGAAACAAATTTTTCCGTTGTTACCCAGGCCTACTGCCTACATATCTACCTACCTACCTACCTACCTACCTATCTATTTATCTATCTACCTATCTCTCTCTCTCTACCTATTTATCTACCTGTGTATCTACCTCTCTACTTATGCAGCTATCAGCTATCTACCTATCATCTATATAGCTCTCTACCTGTCTACTTATCTACCTACCTACTTATCTACCGCTCTACCTGACATCTATCCATCCATCATCTTTATCTTTCCATAGCAAGGTCTTTCCCCTCTCCTATAGAGCATCCCAGGAAGGGTTACTTGGTCTAGACCAGTCATGGCCAAACTTTGGCCCTCCAGGTGTTTTGGACTTCAACTCCCACAATTCCTAACAGCCTACTGACTATTAGGAATTGTGGGAGTTGAATTCCAAAACACCTGGAGGGCTGAAGTTTGCTCATGCCTGGTCTAAACACTGGGATCTCCAGGAAGAGAAATTTCAGAGCTGGAGGGGGCTGTAAACACTGTAAACACAAAGCAACAGCACCAGTCCCTTCCCCCCAAGTCAGCAAGACCATAGCCGATTGTGGTGGAGCTCTCCAAGTTGCCACCTTGGAGCAGCTTCTTCCAAGAACCTCCACACCTGTCCTGAATCAGGCCTGGGAGCCCTTGAGTGGCTCCCAGGTGTTCCTACTTTGGTGTTCCTACTTGAGTCCAGGTGTTCCTACTTTACTGCAACCAGCCTGGAGATGCGGAAACTGGCTCTTTCTGGAAAGGTTGGAGTCCTAGTGTTCATTCTGCTTGTTTCCAAGCCAGCCCCCTTATGCTGGCACTGACCCTATGAAGGAAGGTTTCACTCTCGATTGAGTCAGGCCAGGTAAGAGGCCCTTCTTGTTTTCCTACAGCCCCCCGCTTTGCCCAGCGTTGCTCTTTTCCGAAAGAGTCATTTTGTCTTGTGATGTATACCCAAAGCACTGCTGAATTAGTCACGTTCATTTCCAGTGGAAGCTAAGGCTGGATTTGCTCTGAGACCCAGTTCTTGGTATTATTATTATTATTATTATTATTATTATTATTAGTCTGTCTATCTTTCTTCCTACCTACCTATCCCTCTATCTACTTATCACCTACCTAGATCTCTACCAATCTATTTATCTACCTACCTACCTATTTATTTGTTTATCTACCTATCTATCAATTTATCTACCTATCTACCAGTCTATCTGTCTGTCTGTCTGTCTATCTACCTACCTACCTACCTATTTATATATCTACCTACCTATTGATTTAACTACCTATCTGCATACCTATTTATTGATTTACCTACCAACCGATCTACCTACCTACCTACCTACCTATATATTTCTCACTCTGTCTATCTACTAATTTACTTACCAATTTATCTCTCTCTCTCTCTACCTACCTATTTATCTATTTACCTAGCTATCACTCTACCTACCTACCTACCTATTTATTTATCTATCTATCTACCTAGCTATTTATCCATGTACCTATCTACATATCTATCCATATCTATCATTCTATCCTACCTACTATTTATCTACCTATCTATTTATCTGTCTACCTAGCTATCACTCTATCTACACATCTATCTATATCTATCTACCTATCTATTTATCTGTCTACCTACCTATTTATCTACCTATTTTACCTATTTATCTATCTACCTAGCTACCTATCTATTTATCTATCTATGTACCTATTTACCTATCTATTTATCTATCTACCTAGGTATTGATCTACCTACCTACCTATTTATCTATCTATGTATCTATCTACCTAGGTATTGATCTACCTACCTACCTACCTATTTATCTATTTATCTACCTACCTACCTATTTATCTATCTATTTATCTATCTACCTAGGTATTGATCTATCTACCTACTTACCTACCTATTTATCTATTTATCTACCTACCTACCTATTTATCTATTTATCTATCTACCTAGGTATTGATCTACCTACCTACTTACCTATTTATCTATCTATTTATCTATCTACCTAGGTATTGATCTATCTACCTACCTACCTATTTATCTATCTATTTATCTACCTACCTACCTATTTATCTATCTATTTATCTATCTACCTAGGTATTGATCTATCTACCTACTTACCTACCTATTTATCTATTTATCTATCTATCTATCTAGGTATTGATCTATCTACCTACCTATTTATCTATCTATTTATCCACCTACCTACCTACCTATTTACCTATCTATTTATCTATCTACCTTGGTATTGATCTATCTACCTACCTACCTATTTATCTATCTACCTATCTACATATCTATATCTATCGTTCTACCTATTTATCTACCTGGCTATCTCTCTCTCTCTCTACACATCTATCTATCTATATCTACCTATCTATTTATCTGTCTATCTATCTATCTATCTATCTATCTATCTATCTATCTATCTATCTACACAGCTATCTATCTATTTATCTACCTATCTATTTATTTATCTACCTCCCTATCTATCTATCTATCTATCTATCTATCTATCTATCTATCTATCTATCTATCTACCCACCTATTTATCTATCACTTTAAAGTGGTACCTATTTATCTACTCACATTTATTTTCGAACTGCTAGGTAGGCAGAAGCTTGGCTAAAGGTCAGGAGCTCACCCTGACCCAAGCTTTGAACTGTCAACCTTTCGATTGGCAAGATTTGACTTACCATTGAGTATTACTTACCATTGAGTACCTGAAGACCCTAAAGCAGGCATAGGCAAACTTTGGCCCTCTGGGTGTTTTGGACTTCAACTCCCACAATTCCTAACAGCCTACCGGCTGTTAGGAATTGTGGGAGTTGAAGTCCAAAACACCCAGAGGGCCAAAGTTTGCCCCTGCCTGCCTAAAAAGGCATCTCA